AACAGGGCTCTTTAGGAGGCAAAAAAACAGAAAAGCTGACCCCACTGGCAGTGCTGCATTCTTCCCATGCCTGTGTGAAGAAAGAGTGACAGAATGCTACACTGAAGGACTGTTGGGAAAGCCTCTTACCCCTCAGAGCTACGAGCAGAGGGTTTCCATTCTTGGTGGTTTAGATCCAGGGCAGCAATACTAAAATACTAGGTGGGCTTTAAGAGGATAAGCCACGGAAATAGTAGTAAATGTGCCTAAATTGTTTCTGGTTAAGTGCTAGTTGAAAGGGAGCTTCAGAATACAGGTTTTTCAATATACACTGCCAAACTCTGATTTTTCTCGTATATTACCAGAAGTTTTACAATTTATTTTTGTTCCCTTTCAACACTCCATATATTTTTCTTGCTGCCAAAATACATGCTTCTCTTGTTTAATATTGTCACCTATTCACTCACATAAATCCTTTATGACAAGAATCTTCCCCTACTCCATGTACAGATACAGAACGCTGCTTATTAAAAAAAAAAATTGAAAGTTCTCATAATCATTTTGTACCTGTGGAGGTATAAAATTCTGATATTACTCAATATTTTACCAAAACATTTTATCTCACATATGGAGAAAGCCATTTAAAAGATTTTACCTCCTATACTTGCTTCCGTACCCAATGGTGTTGCACTCTCTTTGTCCTCACATGGATTTGCCACCTCTCTCCCCTGGGTGACAGAGACACAAAGGATTACTCAAAGCCCATTCCCTCTGAGCACTGAGACACCCCGAAGGGGTTAACTTCCCTGAACCCTCAAGAGAGAGACATTCTTCCTTTGGGAAATTAACACTGAGCTGGGGTTCTGTCTCAGTATTTATTCTGCAGGCCAGGAAGTTACAGAAAAGAAACATAGGTAGGGTTATGGCTAAGTATACTTTAAAATTAGAAACTGGTAACATCAGTGAAATAACAGAGTGACATTCCATAATGCAATTTGCAAAAGGTTAAGTTGATCCACCAACAAAAGCTTATTCTTAGCAAATACTGTGTTTTCCTACAGCAGTTTCCTCAGTATTTTTACATAACAATAAACCATCTTTCTTAACATATTAATCAGTAGGTTAACCTGTTCTCAAGGGCATCGGTCCTTGAGAGCCAGCAACTTTGCTGTGTTACAATTCTATATCCACAACAGAGACTTTAGCCTGGGGAAAGTTTCCTGTCTTTTGCAAGGTTAACATTTCTATATGTAATTTTAAAAGGTTAGGTTAAACCTGAAACTACCGGGCTTTGGAAACTAGGCCCTGTGAAATACATTTGCTTTATAAATGTTAGTATACTCCACACAATGGAGGTACAATTTACCTACTCTGATCTGGTCCACATATAAGGCAAAAAATCAAATATAGCAAAATTATCCTTAAACATTTTCTTAAATTGACAGTACGATAAACTATAGACATGACTTTGCATATATAATACTACGTAGCAATTTTACTCAAGGTGAAGGAGAAGGAACACTGAATTCTAAAGCCTAAGCGCAGATAAGTGTCTGGATGTTTAAGCCATTCTGCTTTTAAGTTAGCAATTTAATCCCTCCAGTGAATATTGGATGAATAGAGAATTTTAATGTGCCCTTGCTTCACTGCAGGGTTTACTCCATCCCATTTTAACCGTAATCTTCTGTGACGATAACAGATGTCATTTGGCATCTTTGTTGTTGTGAGACTTAAACATCATGGTGGAGACTCATCTTTAGGATGTGAGGGATTGAGAGGTGAGTATCTAAAGAACTGGCATCC